TAAGAAAGGGATAGAAACAACATAATTAATATATAATATTAATGATAATAATAATAATAATAATAATAATTAATAACAAAACGCATCATCCTGATTAAACGACACCGAAAAATCACACGACATGGATCGAAGCTCACGTGGAACGTCCGGCATGTATCCAACGTTATCGCAAGCATGGCCAGTCTGTATTAGCATGAGCATGTTCGTACATTCATCGTTCGTTCGTTCGATCGTTCGTTCGTTCTAATGTACGTATGATATATATCACACCCGCATCCATACATAGCGAGTCCACCAGTAGCCAGCCTAACGGCACGAAGCAGCAGTCACAAGAGAAAAGAGTGTAAGAAAGAGAAATCAAGAAACGTGTGTGCCTCGAATTCCAGTAAAGATGAATCCTGTACTCGCCTTCGAATATCTGTTCTTCGCCGTCTTTGGTCAAACAACCCACGGCGAGCTAAAGGTCGAGACTAATCAGCCGCAGTGGACCTCGGTCCTGTTCAAGTTGGCCTTTGGTGTATACATGTTGGTCTCAGTAGTCGTATTAATTAATCTACTGATTGCCATGATGAGTGACACCTACCAGCGGATACAGGCCCAATCGGATATTGAATGGAAATACGGGCTCAGTAAACTGATCCGAAACATGCACAGGTAAGCCGGAAAATGTGTTAACCGAATTTACAGAGACGAATCGGATCTCGAAATTTATATATCTCGACCGTTTTCCGTTTCTCACGTTAAGAAAAATGAAAAGAATGTCTTGCTACCTCATCTTTCATCTATCTTCTTTTCGTTGCCATTGAATGACTTTCGCGCCGCATATATGTTTCCTCATCGTGTAGTTGTTCTTCCCTAAAATAAATCTACGGGATAGGTTGGACACGCGATTCCCGTGTTGCAGAACGACCACCGCTCCGTCGCCCCTTAACTTGCTCACTACTTGGATCGTGTACTTCATCAAGGTGTGCAAACAACACGCCGCGAAACGAAAACGTCCCTCGTTAGTGCATATGATGGGACTTCAGCGAGCTGCCCGTCTCTCGCCTAGATCGAAGATGGGCGCGAAATGGTTGGCGAAAGTGAAGAAAGGTCAAGTTAGACCAAAGGATAGTGTAACTTTATCCGTTGTACATTTGAGTCCTCTTGGTAGTCAATTATCCTTCAATAGCGCTACCAGAATAGAGAATGTGGTTGACTGGGACTCGATCCGTAAAAAATATTTAGCTTTGGCCGGAAATGAGCCTGAAAAAGAAGCAGACAAGGATGCTAAAAACGAAGATGAGGAGAACGAGGATGAAAACGCACCTATGGTTTCCAACTCTTCCACGGTACCAACGACTACAACGCCACCTGTTTGAAAGAAGTTGCTCCTTCGCCTCGGAAAAACATAAAAAAGTTCGACCAATTATTACCAAATTTTATAGATTTCATCGAGTGCGATGATGCATAAATATTCTCATCGCGTTGAAAATAGTGGTGAAAATAGTTTTTATGCGGAAATATTTATTTTAGATAACATTTCGTAATTAGATTCGTAACATTTGAAGGTTAACTTTTTATTCGCGAGATGATAATGAAAAAGTTATCGTTTTGGAATTTACGTAAATAATCCCACGAATATGAAATAGAAAAATACGACTGTCGTGTTGTATCGTTCGTAAACATTTGACAACATGGCTATTTACTTTTGGATTGTACTTGAACTTCCCACGGGTTCTCTGCTATGCTAATGCTAGGATGATTTTTAAATGATAACTCGTCCAAAATAATCTGGTTTATCCTTAAAAATGTATTCCTTATTTTTTCTTAAGACCCTGAAATAACGCGTTCTTTACGAACTAGTATTTAATCAGAGTGATAAGTGTTAAACATTGAAGAAACAACAAACAAACATTGAACAAAAACACATACGTATTTACATACATAAATACATACATTCGTATACGCAACATCTACGCACATATAGACAGATTGAAGAATACATCGCGATACATGGAATTTTCACAAAACGTATCGTTACCACATATTTCCAGTCAAGATGAATCCCGTATTGGCCGTTGAGTTATTGTTCTTCGCCATCTTCGGTCAGACGACCCACGAACAATTCAAGGTTGAAAAAACGCAGCCCGGATGGACCAAAGTTCTCTTCAAACTCGCCTTCGGTATTTATATGCTGGTTTCGGTGGTTGTGCTGATTAATCTTCTAATTGCCATGATGAGTGGCACTTACCAAAGGATACAAGCTCAGTCCGACATCGAATGGAAATACGGATTGAGTAAGCTCGTTAGAAATATGCACAGGTAAGGATTTATAATTGTTGCTCATTGGTAAAAAATGACCGGAATCTTCCATATTGTATCTTTCGAGAATTAAAACTGAAATAGAATTATCGATTTATCGATATCCGCAACGTTGTATATCCGCGCAGGCTAATTCGTTCGGTCAAAAAATTCTAATTGATTAGCTACGTTTATCGATGCGTAGGACAAATACGGCGCCATCACCATTGAATCTTCTTACCACCTGGATGACATATTTGTTCAAACACTGCAAAAAACGCGCTGCGAAAAAACAACGACCTTCTCTTGTCCGCTTGATGGAGTTACAAAGAACTGATGCTCTTTCTCCACGCTCCAAAATGGGCATCAAATGGTTATCCAAAGTAAAAAAGACTCAAGTGGCTCATAAAGAAAGTATTGCCTTATCAGTTGTTCATTTAAGTCCTCTTGGCAGTCAATTATCGTTTAGTAATGCTGTCAGAATCGATAACGTTGTCGATTGGGAAGCGGTTCGACGAAAATATCGAGATCTTTATGGTGAAAAGATCGAAAAACATACCGAAGAATCGAAAGATATTATCGAACACGACCCTCTACCGGCTGTTTTGGAAAGTTCATTGGCCGGTGTTCCTATTGGAAACCAAGTTGTATCTACTTCTGTTTCTTGAATCGATTATTTTTCACAATCGATGTATTGATTAGAAAATGAATCTATTTGAACGTATTCTATCTAATTGAATATATTCTTCTGATATTAAATTATTAAAATAAAACGTATGAATTTATCATTTTCCAATATAAATGTATCAATCTTGCATCTTGCATTTGATCTTTCTTGAAATAAACATCAGAGATGACCGGATCGTTTTACTGATTCTATTATTATTCACGGTCCTTTTACCTTTTCTTACATCGATACAACAATTATCGTTCCGACCATGTTTTAGAGAATACTACCAAGGAAATGATGTTGTATAGCAACAATATATAGGAATTTGATATATCTTTAATGGTTAGTTTCTGTATACATATATAGTCATTAAATGTATGATCATTCGTATTTTTTGTTTTGCTCTTTCACTGGCACACTAATGATGAACAAATCGATAAACTAATTCCATTATATTAAACAAAATATTATTACTAAATGCACGTGTGCATGCTGACTAAATATCACGATGCTTATTATTTAGCAAAATCGAGTACGTATTTATAATAATATTTAATCGTATCGTGAAATCGGTTCGTCGACCGTTTGCCGTTCGAATCTCAGTTGATCGTGACACGCTGTCTTCATTAATTAGAATCGCACAATTAAGATCATACAAGATATCAATATATCTTGAAATCGATATCAAAACAAT